CACTTCTGGGGGGGGGGGGGGGGGGGGGGGGGAGATACGTGTGAATCACTCTGCCAGTTGTTGGTCAACCACTCTGCCTTAGCAGCTCTCATGGTCTCCCACAGCACATGGTCTCCCACAGCAAAAACATGGCTTGGCAATCAACCAGCAAAGGTCATCCATCCTTTACTGTTTGCTGCACTGAAAATTTGCAATATAATTGCCTGGAGCATTTGCACACAGATTTGTGTAACACTGCGCCTTTGTTACCCAGGCTTTTCTAAAATTGAGGACAAGGTATGTATCAGTGTGTAGACACGCAGCAGCCCAGGGAAGATTGGTGGACTGAAGATACTCGCATGCTGGCGAATGTTAGTGAGGCAGCAATAACAAGAGTAAGAGCCCCTGTTCAGACATTACCACTGAATAACTTACTTTCTAGTGAATGATAACTCTGTAACCAAGTGCACTGATGCCCGACAAGAGCTTTCCTAACATATTGATGTTGCCCTCATTAAATCACAGCAACCCACAGCTATCCTGTTAAACTACTGACTTGCCCCACTATTGCAGCAAGTGACAGATGATGTCAAGAAGGTATTGGCATCTGTGTCAGCCAGCAAAGTAGCCAAAGTGTCTAGACTTTGTAACAGTGGATCTCACACAGCAGCTTTAAATCTAGCTGGATGGCACGCAGCCATGAGGGAAACCCTATGGCAGCACTGTACGAACATGTGCCATCCAGACCAGGCAGACCACAGCTTTTTTTTTTAATCTGCTGCAGCTCATTTCACTAATGGGTGGTGATTTCTGACTGGCATCCCATTCCCAGAAAATTAAACAGGGAGTACTTAAGTCAAGCCAGCCTCCGAGGGACAGTGTTATTGTGATACACCGTTTGTTCATAGTTAACCTGTGATAGTCTATGCATCATATAAACCTGAGATTGTCTATGTACAATAGTGTTAATCTGATTTTGTTGTATCCATAATAATAAAAATCTGACATTTAGTCAAAGCATAATATAGCCTCAAAGGATCATGTTGACCTAGAATTCAGACAATGCAGACAGATGCAGCCTCCATCTCCAGCACTATTGTAGAGTCAGTGTACCAATAACAATCCACATCTGAGCAGACTGAAACCCTCTCACCTCTCCTGTTCATGGGCCGTACACGAACAGCCACCTTGACATTGGAGTCGTCCAGGCTGGGCTCCCCCATGCTGACTCCTTACCCAGGCAGGGGAGGTAGTGCTGATCCAAAATAAATCAGCTCTTCAGCTAAACAATCATCCAAAAGCCTGGAAATGTTGCGCTAGCCGGACTGTCGGCCAGCTAGCTTCGCTCAGCTTTGCTCCATAGACCAGGCATGTCCACGGAAAAACAACAAAAAAAAGAGCCTGGATAAAATCCCGCAGGAAGCCAGCCGCCGCCGCTTATCTTCTTCTTCTGCTCATATTCCAGGCTAATTTAAATCCACAGAGGCGTGGAGGCTGGAAGGGAAAGGAGAAATGTAAATTGAGTAAGATGTTACAGCAGCTGGTGGATGTGACTGAGCAAACATATGCTATCTGCACAGCAAAAAAACGGGCTAGCCAGCTAATCTGCCAGGCAAACTGAAGGGTAGCAGTGGCCGGAAAGTTTTGACCATTTCCTATCATTTGACTACGTAACATCCTCTGACACAATCCCAACTTCGAGCTACATACCTTGGAGGAGTCATCCCAGAGGTGACACCGCTAACCTACACGTACAACCGAGAGAGATCCCCAGGGAACCGCCTGGCGATGATAGACTTCTTCCCAACGGAATCCACTATGTCCTCCCTCTGTGTCGAGCTACAAGCAGCTAGCAGCATCCGCCCTTCCGCCGAAATATTACCCCGTCAAATTAAGAGAGTCGGTAAAACTCGCTAGTCGAGCTCAGAAGCCCAATTAGAGACACATGTGACAGTTTTTCCCAGGACATGTGTCACTTTTACGATGACGATATAATGCGTTGCGTTGCTTTAAAGCTAAAACACAAGACACTTTTAGCCGGTCCGGATGATGCATGCATGACTCCCTGCCGCTAACGTTAGCCAAACCACCAAAGACAGGGTGAGCTGTCAAACGCCGACAAAGGCTAAACGTCCTCTTTTGGTTACACATCTTTCATAGTTAAATTCACTTTTCAATCTAATTTCAACTGGGACTGTAGTTACAGTCAGAAACCCTAAAGTAATCGGAACTGACAGCTAGCGTTAACGGAGGTTAGCTAAAACCCTTACAGACGCTGCACCTCACCTATCCTCTCGCACCGCATTTGATTTATAGACCAAATACGAACTAACTACAGATACGTTTTCGATAGAGATACCAGTTTACATTGAGCTTTTCGTTTAATTTTGTCGAAATTATCTATTGAACATGTTTACACCACTCTATACTAACGTTGGTGTTTCAAACTTTAGTCCTCCCTGTGGTTCTGCGGTTGCTGCAACCAGTTTCCACAGGGGGACATTATAACACCAGCCCAGCCGGGGACCGTTAACATCAAGTTAACGAGTTGCTTAGAGTGCCGGCGGTCAGGCCCGGTAAGTCAGAGGTTAACTTACAGTTTTACACGCTTCCCAGGATAAGCCGACCAAATAACAACGTACTAGAGTGTTTTTATGGATAAAATACAGAAAAAAAGATTCTTCTTACCAGATGTGTTCAAGACCCCAGTCAGTCACGCGACACTTCCGCTGTCCACCGTCAAACTAAACGTTATACTTCCCCCTTTAGTTTTCAAAATAAAACCTGATATTTCATTTTAGTTCAGTGACATCACGTCACATGAAAGTTCAGTGTAGTTAGTCACTCAGTCCAGTTTATTTCCATTCTACCTCACACAAGTACACAGTAAAACACACATTTTTGCACAGCAGCATACCTTTAACATTTAAGCACAACAAAACACTTGCAAATACACAGCACTGATTTTTTTTTTAGCTAAATTAAAATGATTTTTAAAAAAATCCTTTGGATAACACAATTGCAAGCCTTTAAATTTATATAGTTCAATAAATACATTTTGCCATATATAGCATATTTTACAATAAGCAATAGAAAAACAAAACTGTATTTGCCATTTTACCTGCTCACACATCAGCTTTTAGGTAAAAAAAAAAAACCCTCAACTGTAATACACGATTTAAAAATTTCAAGTACAGCTCCCAAACACAACACTATGCAAACTATCTAACGCCCATCAGTCTGAGAGTTACAAAGTTAATACAGTTTGCTGACTTCGGGCTGAGCTTTGGAGAATTCTATCCAGTAGCCTGCTTTGACTATGGCTAGATTCATAATCATCAGATAAATAATAATTTGCTTGTAGCCTACCACATGCAAAACTCCTTCATCTTGATAAGCAGTCCATTATTTCAATTATTTATCGCTTCATAACAGTCAAGTTTCCTAATTTTTTGTTCATATCTGTAAATTCATACCTCCAGATCTAAAATTGCAGTAAATAGCATTTATTAAATATCTACTAAGGGGCTGTTTGTTATTTATGGAGCTAAAGGAGGTGATGCAAAAAGGGGGAGGCATATCATAACTTTTTCAGCACTGGGGAAGGATTTATGTTTTTTATTTTGGCTTAAGGGAGGGGCATACAAATGTTAGTGGTTGTATTTAGTATTTATTTTATTTTGTTGCTGATTTTTTTAAGAAAACATGTCTTCTGGGTTTTGAAGCCATATTTTCTTTAAAATCGTCAAAAATACATTATTTATTATAGCCAGAAACTGTAAAAACATAAATAATTGTTGAATTTCTTAAATATCCAACCATCCTTGGACACATTGTATGCAACGAATGCTTTCATCAGAAAGAAAAACAAAAACAAAAAACATCTGAGCTTAAAATAATGATATTTCATCAAAATCACTTTGTGAAGGCCTCGATCAGCAATATGAGGACTTATGTAAAATATGGCCAAAAATAAACTGTTTGCTCTAACTAACCAGCATGCATGTCAAAAGTGAAAAACAGAGGGTTTTTTGACTCCATGATTTCTTCTTCGATGTTTTTTGTTGTTTTTTTTCCAATTTTCTAACATCAAATGGTAAGTTTTAAAAATCTAATAATTTGGTTAGAGAGAGGGTCAGGCTTTTTCACTAGTTATTCAGGGAGGCTCAAGGTAGTGAGAGTAAAAAAAAATCCTCACAGTCACACCAGAGTCACACCCTCCTCTGATAAGTAAAGAACAGTCCCTAATTACTGAATACTTATTTTTCTTTAAGAATGTACTATTATTTTAAAAAACACATACCGGAAGTAGAGGTACATCCTTCAGTGAAACAAAGGATTTCCTCAGTTTCGACCTGGACTGTGCTTTCAAGACTGGAAGGTGTCTGACTGACACCTGCTGAACACTGGTGGTACTACGTGACAACATTATTACAGCATGAGGCAATGTCAGATAATATCTATCAAATACATGTATCTGGCATCATCTGTGAGGGAGATGGTCCATTTTTGTGCTGTGTCTGAGAAACTAAAGGCACGAGTGACTAAACATTTAAATATATAGGGCTGGGAGTCAAAGGTACCTTAACTCCCCACCTGCTCCTGCTGATCTGCTGTGTAGTTGTGCCTGGATGTGAAGCCAGATGGAGCTAGTTAGCAGTAGCCTACATGAAGTCAAAACAATAAAATAAGGGAAAGGGTGATGAAGGCCTCCATCAGCAATATGAGGACTTTAAATGATTGTTCAAACACTTCTGGATTTATGCCCTAATGAGAAGCAATGGAGTGTAGCAAAAGTCATTTGTAGACCACTTTAGCATAATTACAAATACACATACACAATCACAGGTTGCTGAAACACTACTTTTACCACTAATTTCTCTATTTGCTTGAATGAAATCAATGACCTGCTCTATCTCGTTTATTTTCTCTACCTGCTTGTTTTGATGCTGAGAGTTTAACCACTGAATGCACAGACTGTGAGATGCAAACCATGTAACACCTATTTCCTCATATGTTTGAGAGTAACAAGACAAGAAACTTCAACTTTTTTTGTCAAGAAGAGTGGACAATTAGGAAACAGGACTTCATCCAAGTCTATATAAGGAGAATTTAAATCAGACCACAAAGAGGAAATGGTCCCTTCACTCACCCCTTTTTGAAAAGGACTGTCAGATGCTCCTGTCTCAAACAAAGTGTCTCATAATTTCTCTTTCACATTTAAAAAATAGAATAGTTACTTGTGTACACTGAGGGACTTTGGGGCAATTATTTCTTATTTTTACTGAAAGACAAACATGGCCTCAAGAGACATTCTGTTAACTGCTGATTTCAGTTAAAGAGTCTGCGAGGAACATTAAACAAAGTCTGTAAAAAATCTGAATCCTTCTCTTTCTTAAAGAGTGCTTCACAATCTTATCTCAGCAAAGGGGTCAGACGTCAGAAGAAGGGTTTTGGTGTCTTGTTTATGGGCTCTTGAACAAGCAGTACTAACAGTTGCTGGTATCGAAACAGTGGAGCAGTTGAAACCACTGGAGGGCACTCTGCTGCAAGATGTAGCAGCATTGAAGTGTAATGTAGTAGAGAACGACTGACTGTTTAAAGGCATTCCCTGCAGTGTAGAGTTCACCACTTGTTTAACCTTTACATACTGTAATTAAAAGTATAGTTAATTTTGGATCATGTCAAAGTAGGAACACAAAGGTTTTCTCAAAATATAATCATCTTAGTTAAAATGAGTGGTGGGGTGCCTAATGATCAGGGAGTGGAGGTCATAATTTAAATTCTTTTAAAGTAGACCCCAGCATCCCTTCAGCTTGTTTCAACCAATCCCGTTCCACCAGGTGAACTGCGCCTTTAGGAAATGTTGACCTGAAGGATGGAATGCATTAAACTCTTGTCGTCAGAAAGTCGAGAGCGTAGGCAGAGGGGAGACAAACGCACACAGAGATGGTACCCCGCCTCTTTTTTCCAAGAACCATGTACACACCAGCATCTGGCGTCATTGCTTATGTCTGAAGAATTACTGTCATTCTTTTTTCTGCTGGGTGGCTCACAGTGTGAATGTACTGTGGTGCTATATGAAACAGAGCGTGGGTAAAAAATGCAATGTAAAAAGTACATTGGTCAGCTACAGCATTCCCTCCAATGACTGACATTTAGGAGATGAAAGCTAAAGAAAAGTAAATGTATAATTCAAGAAAAAAAAACAGTGTCTAGACTCCTTTGTAAAATGTCGATATATTTGGTTCCCAAACGGTTTGCATAAACGAAAATAAACAGATAAAGCCCCATAAGATGTTAATGTAATCTCATTGAAATGGTTCTCTCAAGCAGTAAAACAGTGAGATGGCTTTTTTCAGTATTAAAGTGTTCATCAAGAATACTCAGTACCTGATACACAATCACTGGCATCTAATATACTGTACACACTCATCCACAATGTAGAGAATATGTCTGAAAACCATTTTAATTAAGAGTTAGGATAAAGTCTGTAGCTGTGCTCATCTTTTTTTATGATCATAAACTCAGCAACCAAATCCACAAAGGGGTGAGGCAAGTAGACAGGTCATCTAAAGTGCAGTCAAACTGTTGTGAAAAGGATACAGAACAATGGCTAATAAAGCAACATAGACCTGTGTGCTAAATATATACCATGCGCTAGCAACTGCTTAGCTTAGCTTAGCTTAGCATAAAGACTTCAAATATGGGAAATCGGCTAGCCAGGTTTCTTCTTTAAGTAACAAAACAAACCTACCAGCACCTGTAAAGCAGCAATGATGTAATATGATGGACAAGTGACATACACCGATCAGCCA